TATCCCACACGGGAGCTCCAGTTCAAGTCCAGTTGCTCTACTTCTGATTGAGTTCCCTCTCATGTTGCCTGGGAAAGCAGCTGAAGATGGTCCTAGAACTTGGGCCCCTGCCACTCCTGCGGGGGACCTGGATGGAGTTTCTATCTACTGGGCTCAGTCTGGTCCAGATCTGACTATTGTGGCCATTTGGTGAGTAAACCAGCAGTTGGAAGATCTCCCTCTCTCTTGCTCTCACTCTACCTTTCAAATAAATAATTTTTTTTATTTTTATTTTTTATTTTTATTTTTTTGACAGGCAGAGTGGACAGTGAGAGAGAGAGAGAGAAAGGTCTTCCTTTTGCCATTGGTTCACCCTCCAATGGCCACCGCGGCCAGAGCACCGCACTGATCTGAAGCCAGGAGCCAGGTGCTTCTCCTGGTCTCCCATGCGGGTGCAGGGTCCAAGCACTTGGGCCATCCTCCACTGCACTCCCGGGCCACAGCAGAGGGCTGGCCTGGAAGAGGGGCAACCGGGACAGAATCCAGCGCCCCGACCGGGACTAGAACCTGGTGTGCCGGCGCCGCAAGGCCAAATAAATAAATTTTTAAAAAGATTTTATTTATTTATTTGGAAGGTAAAGTTAGAGAGAGAGAGAGAGAGAGAGAGAGAGAGAGAGAGAGAAGGAAGGAGAGACAGATAGAGACATCTTCCAACCACTGGTTCCTCCCCAAATGGCCACAATGGTCGGAGCTGAGCTGAGCTAATCCAAAGCCAAGGAGCCAGGACCTTCTTCTAGGTCTCTCTTGTGGGTGCAGTCGCCCAAGAACTTAGGCTATCTTCTGCTGCTTTGCCAGGCACATTAGCAGGGAGCTAAATCTGAAGTGGAGCAGCCAGGACTAGAACTGGCATCCATATGGGATGCCAGCATGGCAGGTGATGGCTTAACCTGCTACACCACAGCATCCGCCCCCAAATATATAACTCTTTAAAACAAACTGTGGTACATCCAGATGATGGAATATTACACAGCACTAAAAAGAAATGAGCTCTCAAGCCATGAAAAGACTTGGAGGAGACTTAAACACATATTACTAAGTCAAAGAAATCAATCTGAAAAGACTATACAATGAATAACTCCAACTGTATGAAATTCTGGAAAGGGAAAAACATTGGAAATAATTAAAGATTAGTGGTTGTCGGCCGGTGCTGCGGCTCACTAGGCTAATCCTCCGCCTTGCGGCGCCGGCACACCGGGTTCTAGTCCCAGTTGGGGCGCCGGATTCTGTCCTGGTTGCCACTCTTCCGGGCCAGCTCTCTGCTGTGGCCAGGGAGTGCAGTGGAGGATGGCCCATGTACTTGGACCCTGCACCCCATGGGAGACCAGGAGAAGCACCTGGCTCCTGCCATCGGATCAGCGCGGTGCGCCGGCCGCAGCGCGCCAGCTGCGGCGGCCATTGGAGGGTGAACCAATGGCAAAAGGAAGACCTTTCTCTCTGTCTCTCTCTCTCACTGTCCACTTTGCCTGTCAAAAAATAAAAAAATAAAAAATAAAAAATAAAAAAAAGGATTAAGGAGGAAGAGAGATGAACAAGCCAAGTAGATAATTTTAGGTCCTATTATTCTATCCAATGCTATTACAGTGAACACATGTCACTGCATGTTTTTCCAAACCCAGAGCATAAAGGCTCTTCAAAATGTCCAAGGAAAATACATATTGTGGAAAAAAAAAAGCAAAGATTTCAACTTCTTTTGCAAAATACACATTATCTTTCAATTCCATCTTTTTGCAAACTTTTTGCAGACCCACAGTGTAACACCAAAAGTGAGCTCTAACGCAAACTATGGGCACTGAGTGATAATGTTTCAATATAAATTCATCAACTTTAAAACATGTGCCACTGTGGTGCAGGATTTTGAGCGTGAGGAAGGCTGTACATATGCCAGAACAGGGGACATACATATGAACTACGTGGCTTTTGCTTCATTTTGTTGTGACTCTAACTCTAGTCCAAAAAAGGACAACTGCTATAAACACACAATTCAAAAAAAGAAACTCAGATTCCAAAAATAAAGAAAAACACATTTCACTTGGTAAACTAAAATGAAATACTGGGTTTTTGTTTTTGTTTTCTTAGAGAAGCAAACTATTCAAGTGTTAACAAGGGTTCGAAGTGGTAAGCTTTCATATACTGCCAGATGGAATGTAAACTGATACAACCACCTGGGAGAACAATCTGATGGTACTCTATAAATGAAAGCACAGCAATTCTTTCAGCTTCCAGGAAAATACCGAACAGAAAATCTTGTGCACGTGTATAGAACTAGTTAAGAAAATACGCAGACAGCAATGGCAGTAACATGTCTCATTTATGGATATTTACAGAGATACATGTGTTTATGTATTTTTTAAAGTAGTGAAGGGATACACACTACAAATGAGACTCATCAAGTTATTCCTACTTTAAAGTTTAGCAAAATGGTGACGTAGCAGGAAGGGACAACACCTGTGATGCTGGCATTCCCATAATGGCACCGGTTCCTGTCCTGCCTCTCCCTATGTTCCCCGGCTCATGTATGAGACACAGTCCGGGAAGAACATTCACTCATGTGGTCCAGCCTTGAGCTTAGGTGCTGGTGTCAGCAAGGAGGACTGGGTGCTCCATAGCTACCCCACCAAAAAAAATGTTTGCGCTTTCAACATGGAGGGGTGGGGAAGATTCCTGTTGAAACATTTGCGCTAACAGTACAACAATCTAAATACACATTAACAGGGCTGGCATAGTGGCACAGCTCCCTGCTAATGATCCTGGGAAAGCAGTGGAAGATGGCCAACTCCTTGGACCCCTGCCACCCTTGTGGGAGATCAAGACAGAGGTCCAGACTCCTGGCTTTGGCCTGGCCCAGCCCGGGCAACTGCAGCCATCTGGGGAATGAATCAGTGGCTGGAAGGTCTGTTTCTCCCCCTCTCTGTAACTCTTTCAAATAAATAAATAAATCTTTAAAAAAAAAAAAAAAAAAGCCCACTAACAGGGAAATATGGTGTGAATTAACAGTACATCTGTACTCTGAATTACTATGAAAAGCTTACTTGAGGAGATGCCATTGTGGCACATGGATTAAGCATTGCCAGCATCCCATACAGGTGCTAGTTCAAGTTCCTGCTGCTCTGCTTCCTAGCCAGCTCCCTACTGGAGCACCTGGGAAAGCAGCAGAGGATGGCCCAAGTGTTTGGGGCCCTACCACCCTGTGGGAGTCCCAGAAGAAGCTCCTGGTTTCAGTCAGGCTGGGCTGCTGCAATCATCTGGGGAGTGAACCAGCAGAAAGAAGGTATTTCTGTCTCCTCCCCCTTTCTCTAACTCTGCCTTTCAAATTAAAAAAGAAAAGTTTAGAAGAATAAAGCATAGGGCCAGTGTCATGGTGCAGGGGGTTAAGCTGCCTCTTTCGACATCAGCATCCTGTACTGGGATCACACGTTTCAGTTCCAGCTGCCCTACTTCCGATCCAGCTCCCTGCTAATGTGCCTGGGAAAACAGAAGATGGTCCAAATGCTTGGGACCCTCCCAGGAGCCCACGTGGGAGATGCAGAAGGAGCTCTGGGCTCCTGGCTTCAGCCTAGCCCAGTCCCAGCTGTTGTAACCGCGTGGGTAGTGAATCAGAAAATCAAACAGCTCTTTCCCTCTTTGTCATTACCTCTCCTGGTTACTCCGCCTTTCAAATAAATAAAATCTTTAAAAAGTTTGTATGTATATGTACATAGCACATGGAAAAATTTCCAAACCTCATTGTATAAAGGAACCAAAATGATCCTATTACACCTCAGATCTTGTCACACACACACACACACACACACACACATGAATATATTAATGATTTAAATTAAAACACAGAAAAACACCAAACTGCCAACAACGGTGACCTATGGTAGGGAGATTTACCATGTATGTATGTCTATATTGCCTGATGCTTTTACAACTCTGTATGTTCATGGATGTGTAATATAAAAACTACAGCACAGGGGCCAGTGCTGTGGCCTAGCAGGTAAAAGCTGCCACCTGCGGTGCTAGCATCTCATATGCATGCCAGTTCGAGTCCCTGCTAGGGCCTAGGAAAGCAGTAGAAGACAGCCGAAATCCTTGGGCCCCTGTACCCATGTGGAGACTTGCAAGAAGTTCCTGTCTCCTGGCTTCAGATCAGTACAGTTCTGGCCATTCAGGAAGTGAACCAGCGGATCTCTACCTCTCTCTAACTCTGCCTTTCATAAATAAATAAATAAATGAAGAAATAAATCTTAAAAAAAAAAAAACTATGGCATAAAAAGCTGCATTTCTTCTACTTAGAATTAAATCATGAAAAGTCATTAAGAATATCTTTAATCAAGAATTTTTTTAAAGAAGGAATATGATAGCCCTGTCCTACTGGTAATGACAACAGTTCACATTTTCCCTGATAGCTGAATACTTCCTGTCATACCGACCTAACTGGGTCAGCCAAAAGTAATCCACATCTCATTTCAGAAAGCATAAATAGAATTACTACAAGGGTGCTCAAACTGGAGACTGGGTAAGGAAGACAACACTCATAGTCATTTCCTCAGAAGCTGTGTCAGGGCTTCAATGAAGGGAAGTGACACAATCCGTCTGATTCACTAAAATCAAATAGTGGCTTACATGAAGGAAGTCCTGCAAAAAGCCATAGCCCTCTAAAATCCTCATAACGCTCATTCCCCTCCCGTATTCACACAAATAAAGTCATCAGAATAAGGTATTACATAACAATAAACACATGTAAAATAAATATAAACTACATAAATGTAAGGGAAAATCGCTCCTAGATTCTTCCTGTTCCACCTTAACACTTCTTTATCTTAAATTTATATATAAAAAAGTGGAAAATTCACGAAGACATACACACTTACGTGGCTCACTCCAATCTCCACCCCCTAGGATAAGCTAAATGCCAAGCACCAGTCGTATTTACATCAGTGACTTGTACTTTAATGAAGAAATGAGCAAATACTCACTGAAAGTCTTACAGATGTCAGACACAGCTTTGAAGACTCTATCAGAGAAATTCACCTTCACCTTCACATACTTCATGTTGGGCAGCTGCAGGCGGAGCAGTTTGTGCTGGGGGGTGAACTGAAGCTTGGCATCTGCCTGAATGCCGTACTTATCCAGGGTCCAGTGTGTCTTAAGCAGCCAAGTTCTCTTCTTTTCCCACCAGAGAGCATGGTCAGACCAATCCTTTTTTACATCTAAAAATCCAACAAACAAGATGAACCATTAAAAATTACCAGGATTAACTTAAGAGAATTTAAAAGTAGATTGAATACTTAATGATTATTAAATAAATTAACTAAACATTAAATATCTGTTCCATGATAGGGACAAAAGAAATACTAAGAGCTGAGAAAGCATATAATGCTAATCAAGTCAAGCTCAAACTGGGACAGATAAGTGACAAAGTGCTCTGTTACCAGTGAACAAAAGAATGCTGGCAGCTAGAGTGAGAAGGATCAATAATAACTGCAGGCGGCAGGTTCTGGGCTCAGCCTAGACGAACGGACAGTAACAATCTGGGTAACAGAGGTGAAAAGGCTTGAGTTTGTGAGGCTGCAGAAGTATGTGAAGGTACATAAAGGGAGGGGAAATGTGGAGAACCAACACGAACAAAAGCCAATATCCTAGTTGAAGAGGAGCAGCGTGGGAAAGGTACTATCTCCAAGGAACCCTCTATTCCCAAGAGAAAGCTCTAAAACCAAACAAAACCCCTACATGCCAACCACATGCACTTTCTGAAGTACGTCCCAAGAGAAGCGATTCACAACGTCCTATTGTTGGGGCACAGCAGATAAAGCCACTGCCTGCAATGCTGGCATCCCATATCAGCGCCAGTTTGTGTCCTGTTGTTCTGTTTCTAATTCAGCTCCCTGCTAATGGCCTGGAAAACAGCAGAAGAGGCCCAAGTGGTTGGGACACTGCAACCCACACGGGAGACCTGGAAGAAGTTCCAGACTTCAGCTTGGCCCAGCCCTGGCCATTGTAGCCATCTGAGGAGTGAACAGCAGATGGAAGAGCTTGTCTCTCTAACTATGCCTCACTCTAACTATGCAAATAAATCAATCTTTAAAAAAAAAAAAAGTCGAACTGTCCATCTTTTCCCGCTTTAACATATTTTGCAACAAGTATTAGACAACACGCAAGCAAACTAAAATAAACCAAATATGAAAAGAACATAAATTACACAAGATCTGGCTATTCCTATATAAGGCAGATGCTAACATTACACATGCAGCAATAAAGATCTAGCTTCAGCTAACTTTCAAAGTAGCAATAAAAGTAAAGGCTTTCTGGCTCAATTATATGTTAAATTTATTAAGTACCAAAAAAGGGAGAAGTGGTATTTCCAAAAAAGAACAATGGCTTAACAAAGTCTTCCAGGGGAAGAAAAAAGACCTGAGAGAAAACCATATCGCAAATAAAGACTATCATACTTTTTATACGAACTTATGTTTAATACAGTTTTAAAAAGAGCTTATTAACTTTAAGACATTAATCTGTAACTTAAACACACACACACACATACACACAAATGGTTTACCAAGTAAAAGTCAAATTCCCACAGGCATTGTTTCTTTGCCTTTCAAATAAAATGAAAATTAAAAAATTTTAAAAATTGTTAAAGGAGAAGGTCAGGGTATCTTCCCTCTTCTTTGGTTTAGGGTTGCTCCACAGCCATTAAACTTCTAGCACTTCTGAGCTGCCTGCCAGAGACTGGACTGGCTCTCCCGCGCTGAGGCAGAACAGGCCGAGCGATGCCCATGCTTGAGCAGAAGCTGACAGATGCTGGGCTCTGTGCGCCACAGCTGCAGTGGAGCAGCGGTTGAGAAAAGGGTCTCAACAGCACCTGTTACAAACCTGAAAGATTGCACAGTGGTAGGATAGCAAAATCCACGCTATAAAGGCATAATAAATGACAGACTCAATCACTGTGGTCCAGCAGCAGGTGCTAAAACACAAAGGACAAAGACCAACCTGCCAGAGCTCTTTGGAGTACATGTGACAGATAAGCTTTAATAAAGAGCCAGTTTGGGGGGCCAGCGTTATAGCCTAGTAGGTTAATCCTCTGCCTGAGCACCAGTTCCAGTCCCGGTTGCTCCTCTTCTGATCCAGCTCTCTGCTATGGCCTGGGAAAGCAGGGGAAGATGGTCCAAGTCCTTAGGTCCCTGCCCCAGCACAGGAGACCTGGAAGAGGCTCCTGGCTTTGGATTGGCACAGCTCCAGCTGTTGCGGCCATCTGGGGAGTGAACCAGCAGATGGAAGACCTCTTTCTATCTCTCTCTCTCTCCCTGTAACTGCCTGTAACTCTACCTCTCAAATTAAAAATTTTTTTTAATTTAAAAAAAAAAGAGCCAATTTGCCACAAGCACATTAACAGCAATGTGCTGTGTGAAAGGACTATTGGCCAAAAATTGGACTTCAAGTCAAAATTATGTAACTGGACCCTTGTTACTGCAAGAAAGGAGTTGGCAAAGAGTGACTCAGGACCAAATCCTGTCTTTTGTCTTTGTATGACCCTCTAGGTAATAACAGTTTTTTATATTTTTAAGTGGTTGGGGATAGTGGGAATCAAAACTTCATATAACTTCTACATAAAATCCAAATTTGTACATAAATATTCTATGGGGTGTGGTCACAATCACCCAGGCCCATCTGTGTTTGTGACTGCTTCTACACTACATCAGAGTAGCATACTCTTGCCAGAGACCTCAGGGTCCACAAACTCCCAAGTGTCAACTACCTGGATTTTTACAAAATGACTCTGCAGGCCCCTGCTGCAAGCAATGTCATCTTAAGACTTCACCAGGTAATCGTGCAGTAAAATCTCAACTGTCCAGCCATTAAGTCTCAAACTCTGACCTCAGAAACACATACCTCCCCTGATGTCTGTCTTTCCCTTCAAAACCTGAGCCTCCCCATCAGTTCCACATGTTTTTCAATGAAGGATCAGATCACTTGCACCCAGCTAGAACACACAGGCAGGAAGGACACAGGGCTCAAAGACTGTGTACTAGATGCCCTACAGGTGGTTGTATGCCCAAAAGTTAGGAAGCTCTCCTGCCGACTAGCAACACAGCTAAGACCAGGCTTTTTACTCAGAGAAATAACAGCCAAGTAACAATATGGGGGGACTACACAAGATAAAAGCAGAAACAGACACCAGAAAAATCCCAGAAAGCAAGCAGCCCTCATGCCAAAAGACACAAACCAAAAACATTCTGATGGCAAAGTGAAAGATTATGCTGGGGGCCGGCGTGCCATAGCAGGTAAAGCTGCCACCAGTGTGCCAGCATCCTATATGGGTAACCTGTTCAACTTCTGGGAGCTCCACTTCTGATCCAGCTCCCTGCTGATGGCCTGGGAAATGCACTAGTGCTTGGGCCCCTGCCACCCTCCCTGGAGACCTGGATGAAGCTCCTAGCTTCAGCTATCTGAGGAGTAAACCAGCAGATGGGAGAAGCTCTCTATCTCCCCCTCTCTCTGTAACTTCCAAGTAAATAAATAAATCTTAAAAAAAAAAAAAAAAAGATTATGCCAAAATATGGACAGATTGGATTGTGGGAGCTTGTGATACACGAAGGCACTTGAAGAAATGTGAAGAAAATGGAATTAAAAGGCAAGTTGGGGCCAGCACTGTGGTGTAGCGGATAAGGCCACCACCTACAGTGCCAGCATCCCATATGGTGCCGGTTTCAAGTCCCCGCTGCTCCGCTTCTGATCCAGTTCTCTGCTGGGGCCTGGGAAAGCAGTAGAAAATGGCCCAAGTCCTTGGGCCCTCCCATACCCACGTTGGAGATCCAGAAGTTGTTTCTGGATCCCAGCTTTGCAGCACAACTCCAGCCAGGAGTTACGGGTATCTGGGGGAGTGAACCAGTGGATGGAAGACTTCTCTGTCTCTCCCTCTGTCTGTAACTCTACCTCTCAAACAAATAAGTATTAAAAAAAAAAGTAGGTTTATTTTATGCAAAAGTATTTTAAATCCATGCACTGTAGGAATCTTCAAAAAGTTCACAGACAATGCATATCACAACAAACTATGTAAGGCCTTCAAATGTTTCACATGAAAATAAACTTTTTAAATTCCATTTTCCATGAGTTTTTTGAAGTACCTTCCTATGTTCAAAAAGATTTTTGGTACCGTACTTAAGACTCAGCACACTACCAACCTAGCCAGCATTAATTTTAGAAGAAGCACTACTACACAGTATGAACTTTGAATAGTGCCTATAAAAATAGTCAACTCAACAAACAGCTATTCCATACACCTACTATGCACAAAGAGGCACACTATTCTAGCACTAAGGCTATTTTGGTTTGTGGAGAGGTATCTAAACATGTTCCTTGTGGAGGGATGAAGGATGGCTTCTCCTACTCCATCACCTTGGTGATTTCTATCAAACCAAATTATGTCAGAAGCTGGGAAAGTGTTTCTGGTGGCCAGTTTTAGACAGGGGTGATTGATATTTCAAAATCATTACTGAAAATTTTGAAAACTACAGTGATGGGATATGCAAGACTGAAAACCACAGAGTGTGCGCAAGAAGTTTGTGTGACAGTAGAAATGATGAATGTTGGCTTAACTAACCATGGCTGGGTGATAAGAAGTAGAGAAAAGGGGGCCCGCACTGTGGCAGAGCAGGTAAAGCTGCACTTGCAGTGTTGGCATCCCATACGGGCACCAGTTCACAACCTGCTGGCTCTCCTTGCGCATCAGCTCCCTGCTGTGGCCTGGGAAAGCAGTGGAAGATGGTCCAAGTGCTTGGGCCCCTGCACCCACATGGGAGACCAGGAAGAAGCTGCTGGCTTCAGCCTGGCCCAGCCCTGGCCATTACAGCCACTTGGGGAGTGAACCAGTTGATGGAAGATCACTCCATCAAGAGAGAGGTCATCAAGGAGAGGTCTCTTCCTCTCCTTCTGTAACTCTTGCAAATAAATAAATAAATAAATCTTACCAAAAATATTAGACAACTGAATGCAACACGCATGTGCAGGCACCCAGAAACAGCCTGACGCTTGCCACGGTAGGAGTCAGCAAGTATCGCCAGAGCACTCATTCATCAGCATTACACCACCACTCAAAAAGGAGATCAAGCTCAAAACACACTCCAACAGTCAATTTTCCCAAAGTCGTGATTTCTAGTTCTCCTCCAGGTACAGTACAAACTTCCTTCATCTGATAGACTGGACTTTAAAT